ATATATATATAAAACATTTGATCTGAAGTCTGAAAGAATCACCAGCCTGGTTGGTAACAATACCCATGTTTACACATGTGACTTCCTACAGAGTTACGTGAGCAGTTTCACGTAAGACAAAAGGATTGATATGAGGTTATTTCTGATTAGGTATCTGCAGGTTTTTCCCCATGCAGTTAAATAAACCCTGGAAAACTATACAAAGCAACAGCCCACAGTTTAAAAGCAACAAGCAAACAAACTGATCTGTTAATGCTAAAACACTCATCTGTAACAGAGCAGTGTATTTGAGTATCAGTACCAGGCTTACAGAGCACTTTTTAAAAACTGTGAATCACGTCCATTCTTTTATAAGGTCGACAAGGAGGAGCTTGTTACAGAAGAGCAAATTTGCAAGGCCCAGAGGCAAATATTTGCCCAGAGGCAAATATCATTTTGGATGAATAAAAATCCAGACAAGCTCAAAACAAGCTTGAATTTTTTTGTTCTCTCATGTTGTCATTCTTTCCATCTCACGCCTCTCTTCCACTTTCCCTGTGCTGGACTTTGAGTTTATGATGTGCAGTGGGTGAAGTTTCTGTTCTAAATCCTATGCTTTGTGCTAAAGACTATGCAAAGCTAAGGAAATAATTAAATGTCTCTTTCATCAGTGTGGTGCACACACTGGAAGTGTGCCATCAGCTACCACTTTCCAACAGCCATGTAGGAATTTCACAACTTTGAACCCAGAACATTAATGTCTATAGTTTCCTGTGAGCTAGAAACATATACTGTAGACTGAGACTGTAGACTTACTTTTGCTCCACAAAGAGAGGATCGAAGAATTCTGTTGTGATCTTGTTTGCATACAGGGAACAGCCGGTCATTGAGCACAGCCCTAAAAGGTATCAAAGGAAAAGTACTCTGGATTAGTCTATTTCATTAATAGGAAGCACCTTGTGTGGAAGAAAGTTATTGTTTACCTGACAGTATGAATACAATTCCAGCCAAACAAGCGATTTTAGCTTTGGATTTCTCTGAACCTCCAACTTTGGTACACTTCATTCCCAAGAGTGCAAATATGGAACCAAAGAAGCCCAGGCTGACAGCAGCGATCATAAGCCCTCTACATGCCTGGATGTAACCTGCAACCAGAGCAGACATTTATGTTAAAATAAGGCAAGGAGCTGTCCAAGCAGAAATCCTCAGCTTACACTGTCATTCTGTGGTCTGAAAAAAATAACTGGAGGCAAAATGAGAGAGAGTGGAAAGCAAGTTAATCTGTATGGAGTGTCTATCCTAGGTTGAGCACTTTCTGGATTGTTCATGCACGATGCCCCTGCTAGATCGCTGAGTATTATTATTCCCATTCACTGTGGAGGAAATAGAGGTATCAACATTTCTATTACTTTCCAGAGGTGAGTTAATGAAGGTCAGAGAGAGGGACTTCATTGTACTTTGTTTTTTGTTTTTTTGAGACAGGGTCTTATTATGTAGTTGAGACAGACCTGGAACTCACTATGTAGCCCAGGCTGGTCTCAAACTCACAGCAATCCTCCTGCCTCAGCTTCCTGAGTGCTGGGATTACAGGCGTGAGCCACCACGCCCGGCTTCTATTTTGGACTATAAAATCCACGGGACACTGTCTTTCCTGTGAGACATCTCCTACTCCCTCAAGACTCTCTAGCTCCTTTGCACAACAACGTTTTAGATTTTTTTTTTTTTTTTTTTGTACAGGAGATTGAACTCAAGTCCTTGTGCTTGCAAGGCAGGCCACCGAACCGCTGAGCTAAATCCCCAGCCCTAGACAGGTATTTTAATGGTTTGCCATTATTAAACTATAAAGGTTATACCTGAGCAGTAAGAGCTGCCAAAGAGTCAAATCTTCTAATATTACTGAAGGTTACACATGAGACACTGGAATAGTTTTATAAACCATGAGGTCTTTAAAACAAGAAGTATTTGAGTGACAACTGTATTTTTGTCAGGGAACATAAAATAGACTTGGGCTTTAAAAAGTATTGCTTGGTAGAAGAGTAATTTATAATTATTAAATCAACTGTTTGCATATATATATATAGGGGTGCATTTAAAGTACCTTAAAAATATGTTCTGTTAGCTTGTTCGATTTTCCTTCCTGTACCATTTGTTCCCTTACATATTTTTATTTGCACAGCCAGGGTGATGGTAAACTTCAATGTGGCTTCTACCCAGGTATAAGACATTGTAAATTAACAGGATTTAAACTGATGACCCTTTACTACATAAATCATTTTCATTTCAGTCTGAAACATTGCCATATTTCAATCTGAAATAGTGAGAGAGGGGATATATTGGGTGTAAGCAAATATTTGTTAAGTGAATGAACACACTTATATCTGGTTTACGTTAGAATTAAACTTTCTAATTGGAAAACAAAAAGCTTTTAAATGCCATGATATAGTGAGGCATATTATTACCATCTGGGTAAAGGAAACAATAAGTAATAATAAAATCATGATTATCAAATTCAAGGAGTAAATGCTGGTGGCTTCCATTCCCATGTTTCTTTGGAAAAGAATGAAATTTAAACTTTTAACCTTATTTGCAGGATATACTTTGAAGAGCCAATGGAAGCTGTGTTATTGAACTAGAACACACTCACACACCCCCATAAGTGCAGACTGCAATGATAAAGACTCTACTGCGAACTACTTCTACACAGAAAATAATGTCATCAATGCTGAGGCTATCAAAAACAGCATAAGAAGCTGGGCATGGCAGCACGGGTCTGTAATCCCGGCACGTGGGAGGCAGAGGCAGGAGGGTTGCAGTGAATTCCAGGCCATCCTGGGCTCTATAGTGAGTTCAAGGCCAGCCTGAGCTACATAGTGAGACCCTGTCTCACTAAAAAACAAAAACAAACATAACAAAACAAAACAAAAAAGCAAAATGAAAAATAGCATAGGAAACTTAGTTTTAGTGAAACAGGATAATGGAGGTTTTTTGGGATAGCAATAATCATGCTGTGGAACCATCTGAGTCTCTGCTGCCAAACATCCAGCTGTTTTAAGCTTCAGCCTACAGGTCCCCAGCCAGACTGCAGGGTACAGGCAGAGGCGGGATAGAAAGGAGGCCTGAGTGACCTCTGGCAAGAGTAAAGTGAGTGTGCGAAGGGACCCGAAGTGGTCATTATCCACAAAAGCTACTGGCACAGTGTGGTTTCATTATTTTCATGAAATTCATTTTAATCTACAGTTTTGAGGTGTTTTAGATAATCCTAAATGAGATCATTAAACAACTACAAAATAGAGGGAAACACACACAGGTAATCCCTCTTTATCAGTGTGAGATGTGTGGATGCCTAGAACTGTGGAGAGCATCAAACCCCTATCCGTGTGCTTTTCCCTATCAATATGTGATAAAGCTTTAATTAGACACCATATGTGGTTAACAACTCCCTCCCTCCCTCCCTCCCTTCCCTCTTCCCTCCTTCCTTGTCACAAGGCCAACATGAAGCAGTAAAGTAAGACCACATTTTATTTTATTTTATTTGTGAGACTGGGTCTCACTACGTAGTAGAGACTGACCTGGAACTCACTATGTAGCCCAGGCTGGTCTTGAACTCACAGCGATCCTCCTGCCTCAGCCTCCCGAGTGCTGGGATTACATGTGTACACCACCATGCCCAGCCTTTCCTTTCTTTCTTTCTTTCTTGTACCACAGATCAAACTCAGGACCTTGCACTTGGGAGGCAGGTGGCAGCACCACTGAGCTAAATCTCCAGCCCCCATAAGCCAGTTTTTCCGAGTCTCACATTCTGAACTCTTCCATCTCAGACCTGCTCTGGTCTCTTGGTACAAGCAGGAGAGAAGAGATCCACCAAGCAGGTTCTGACTGGGTCAAATCCTTCTTTTGGGGCTGGTCAGAACCCTGGCATGGAAAGCAAAAGCACCTCTGTCCTGCCAGGCAACGGCAGTGATAAGTTGGTGACTTTTGGCATGCACAAAAGAAGGTACCTTGCAAAGACAACTGGTGGCAGATTTTCTGAAATGCAAAGCCAAGAAGAAGGAACAGACACCCCGGCCAGCTGCAAGAGGAATCAGGTTGTCTCCAGCCTGAGGTCTGTAAATGGGGGGCCACACCCACAGGTTCAGGCTGTAAGTGATTTCCAACAAACGTGAAACTTATCTTTTGCAACCTAGCTTTTTAACAGCTCTTGAGGGCAAAACCTGAAAGTAACTCCGTCAAGTGAAGGGGTAGTAAACACCTATGCAAGTGACCATTATTCTTGACAGGCCTAATTTACTGACACTGTTAGTAGCTAATTAACACATTAAAGTGCTGAGGCATGAACATATTTCCTTAGAAGTTCTCTTCAGTATAATTTATAGTTAGTTCTCTTGGGAAATGTGGCAAACATTCCCACTGACAAAAACAGATGGCATCAGTCTACGAAACACTGGCTCATTCAACCGCGAGCTTTTCAAATAGTTAACTTTAAATTAATGAATTCCACTGGCCGAAACCTTCAAGGTGTCCCTTCAAAGCTAAGTGTTTTCTGAATAATGGGTTCCTTATTTTCAATTGCAACCAGCAAAAATGAGAACATCCACTTGGGGGAGACAGTTCACCGGCAGCACTTTAGCTAGTTCCTGGATTTAAGGGAGAAAAAAAGTCTTCTGAACTATTGGCTCTGTGCACTTTTGCAAATCTTTTGATGAAACAGTGGATGGGGGAAGGCAGGAACTCTGAATTTCAATGTTGCTGCTTCTGTTTACCTTGAATGCACTGCTAATGTCTCTGGGTCTCAGTTTTCTCATCCATACAACAAGGACAGCAGTGCCCACTTCACAGGGTGAATGTGAGCAGAGTGTCTGATGAGTAGCAAGAAACTCATCAAAGCTTCCATTCCATGATACAAAGATCGATTTTAAACAGAAATGAGCCCTGGACCCTTAATATGGCATAATATCCAACCTAGACACTTAGCTTTGCTAAGCCTCTTCTTCCTTATAGGGAAAACTGGAAGAGCAGTTACACTCCTGAGGGTGAGAAATTAGGGCTGTGACTATCATCGGCATCTAAGAGGCTTGTTTTTCTACTTAACACAAGATGAGTGAGAGCCACGAGCCTTCTCTCTTCCTTGTTGGATCCCTTTACCCACAGCTCACGCCTGGTCTGCCCACAAAGCCCACAGGAAGGTGGCTTTCTCCTTCCGCTTCAAAGGCAATGCCAAGACCAGCACCCAATCCACGCACCTGACCTGGGGATTCAGGGCAGAAAGCAGACAAGCAGAGGGCCCACTCTGGGAAGTTCTAAATGCAGGTGGGGGGATCAACTCTACTTCCTGTGAACATGTAGCTGCATGACTCAACTCTTCTGGGTGATACAAAAGGGTACGTTTATCATTCTGCAGTAGGAAATGCCCTCTTCCAGCCACAGAAGGCAAAATCACCAAGGAAGGGACTGATAAATGTGATTTTATTTCACATTTGGAAGCATGCCAAAAGCCATCATACATATAAAACACAAGCAACGGACCGAGACTGCACACACCTATAGCACAAATATGCAGAGACAAGCATTGTCAGGTCGCTTAAACCAAGAAGATATGGACAATTCATGGGAGACCAAAAGTAGTCAGTGAATACACAGTAAGTCTTGATCAAAGCCAGGAAATACAGGATGAAGTGAGCAGTGAGCATGTGGAGAGGCAGTTCTCACACGCTGTCGGTGCAGTGTGATTTGACCTTACGAACCACATAGTCGTTCTACTGTTCTGGAAATACCTGTGCTCAGTGGAAGAGATGACTCGTGTGCACAGAGATATTAATAGAAAGAATTTCAGTAAAGTGCTAATAACGGCAAAAAGGTGGAAAGGGTCCAGAGACCACAATGGAAAGATGATTAAATCAGCCAGTTTATCCAGAATAGTGAATATTATGCAGCAGTTAAAGAGTCATTCTATCTCGACCGACTTGGAAAGGTGCTATTAATTTAAAAGCATTACTGAATTTTTGTTTTTGTGTTTTTAAATCATTCATCCAGTCCCAGGAACACACAGGAAAGTCCTTGCAAGCTGGGAAGCACATGAATGTCACAACCCTCTGCTCCACTCCCAGTGAGCTCTAGGACGCTCCTCCTCCCCCAGCACCTCACTGCC